CGTAAAGTAGGTTGTGAAGTTGGTGTATAGGAATCTGTTTTTTGAAGTTGTTGTACATAAATCATTATATTTTGTTTGGATAGTACAACTGTCAAACTGCTGTGCTGCACTTGTATACAAACAAATTATCATACTACCCTTATATATATTAAGATGAAAAAAATTTGTATAAATGTAATTTTTTTTCTTTTCATGTACATAACACAAACTTATAATTTTAAATTAAAATTTTTTCTTTTCATGTACATAACACAAACTTATAATTTTAAATTAAAATTTTAAATCACTCAAACCTTAACAATAGAACCAGCCCTACTCTGGCTAACACATTTATGCTCCTCAAAGTGTTCATTTGTGTCTTTCCATGAAGCCGGACCACTCAAGCTGAGACATTCCATGAAGAGCTTTCCAGGATTAGCTCTGCAATTGAACCTGAGACCATCACCATGGAGATTTACACCATGCTCCACCATCGAAGAAGATTTCTGAATCTTCCCTAACCTCTTATCTCCTGCAGCAGGCGTGGGAGGGAATTTCTTGGCGGAAAGCTCGATCTCAGAGTAGAGAGCGACAGTGGAGGAAGCGAATCGCTCCATCTTGCGAACGGTGCCATCCATGCCGCGAGAGAGAAAGCCGAGAGCCGAGGGGTCGATTCGGCCGACGAGTAAGTCAGAGTACACATGTTCGAAGCCTTGGAGAGCGGGTAGAGAGCAGCGACGACCTAGGCGGGAAGCAACGACGTTGACGCGGTTCAGTTCGTCGAGCTTCTCGGCGACGACGACGGCGAGGAGGTGGTTTTCGTGAGGGGAGATGAGAGAGAGAACGGCGAGGGCGAGGAGGTGGTTTAGTTGTCGAACGGGGCATTTGCGACATTTTTGTGCTTCGAAACCGCAGAAAGCAGCGGACCGCGGGAGGCAGGGAAAGGTCGCGCGAAGCGGGGATGGGCCGCAGAAAGTTTTCCAACGTAGGTCTGCCGCAATGTCCCAAACATCCCTTTAACAATTTTTTATAAAGCACAGCAACAGTAAAGCCGTCCCAAACGGACCCTAAGCAAGAACCTCTTCTTACTCTTTTTCACTAAACAACCTATATTATGATCATTGCTAGACCATATGACATGATAGAGGAAAATGTTAGAAACTTCATCCCAAATTCTTCCCGTAGAAGTAAAAGTAGGATTTTAAATGGAAGAAGATGGTTGTTGTTGTGGAAAATGATTAAACATTAGATTCATTAAAATCTATCCAACTCCTACCTTTCCTTGATAAAATGTTGAAGACCAAAAGCAGAGTACACTTCATCCTAACAAGTGCATGAGGAACTTTTCATCTTGTGAATCCAATTGAAGTAGGAGGTGGTCAATGTCATCTATCAACTTAGGGAGTCAAAGTAATCTAATCTCGACAAATATGTTCATAAAACTGGGTCTCAAGATGACTTCTCACCCATATCCTTGCCTGCTCAAATAGATTTAGAAGGACTTCAAGGTATAGATTGATCCATAGTGTTATCTGCTCTTTGCGCTTAGTCATGAGTACATTAACATTATAATGTATGAAATGATCTCTCTTGATATCTATCATATTATCTTTAGGAACCCATTTTTTTGTCGGATTGACATGCTACCTTCTACCTAAGAGTACAATTATGCTATCTCCACAAGGGTGGTGTGAGGTAAACTGTCAGTGGGAGCAAGAATAATTAGCCTATGGATATAGTGGTGGTTAGTTCGGTGAATAGGACTATAATTGCATGCAAGTGCTTCATTCTACTTGTTGTTTGACTGGAGAAGCTCGACAAGAATGCCTAAATCAAGCCTTGAGGAGGATCTGAGAAGGAATCAAAGGGAGATATAAAAGGCATTGACCCTAGTAATTATGAATTGAGACTTGATATTATAGTAGCTAATAAATTCTACCAAGAGGTTTTTTGAGAGCCGAGAGTGATAACTCTATCAAGATTTGTCACACATGAGGTCAGACTTGTCTCGATATATATATATATATATAATAAAAAAAAAGCAAGTTGTTGATGTTCTTGACAAAAGTGTCAAAATCCCAAATAATTAATCATGAAATTCACTGATTGTGTCGGTGCTAAAGAAAGATGCTGGTCGGAGAATGCGTGTGGATTATTAGGCACTTCATAAAATCACGATGAAGATTCGATGCCCCACTTCCCACAGTGGATGACTTGTTGAACCATTTGAAGCATGCCTCGGATCTTCATGAAGATAGATTTAAAAACATGCCACCATTCAGGGGTGTGCTTTTTTAGTTCAAACAAAAAAATTGGGCTTTAGCGGCGTCTAGAGATTTGGGAGAGATCGATCCTCCTCTCGAATTGAGGATCAATTGTATCTTTGCTAATTTCCTTGCATCTACTAGTAAAATACAAGTTTTTCCTACGATTTTCTCTCAGTTTTCTACATTTTTTCCACTGTTTTCACTGTTCTCCTGCTCCGGACAGCAGTATTTTGTGGAGATTTGCTGTAAAGGTGAATAGGAAATACTTGATTTCAAGTATTTCCTATCACTATAGTCAACGCCTTTATCCTCCTCTCCCATCTTGAAGAGTCGCACAACTCAAGCTGCTACTCTCAACGTTCTAAGTTGTTGGATAAGTTTGGTAGTTGAAAATTGTAAATCGAGAATGATGGCTATTCAAAGATGGAATGTCGGAATTGCAGAAGGCAAAACAACCTAAAAACCCAAACTTAAAACCATTGATTTTTGGCTATTTAGTTTATTACTATAACGGAAACTATAAAAGTCAGCTGAGCTAAACTATATTGTTGTTTGATTTGGTTTGATTATTTATGATAGTTTGGTTAGCTTGTTTGTTAAGGATTGTTTGATTGGCTTAATTATTTGTATTTTAGATCCAAAATTAATTGGTTTAATGACTTCATCAACCAAACCCACCCAAATCGAATGTACCTCTACTACCACCAAGTCTGAGTTCATGAGAGGATACAGGGAAGATTGCCTTTTAGACAAAAAGGGATATTTGAGTGGATGACAATGCCCATTTGGTGACGTGTGTGTATCTCATGAAGGACTTTCTTTGACCATACATGGATGAGTTTGTGATCATCTTCTTTGATGACATTCTCATCTTCAATCGAACATGGGAGCATCATGGACATATGAGTGATGTTTTAAACCTCATAAAAGAAAGTAATTTCTTCTTGAACCTAAAGAAATACAACTTCGGGTAAAAGATCTTATTGTACATAGGCTTCTAAGTTGTTGAGAAGGAGATCAAGATCAACCCTATGAAAATAAAAGTTATTAAGGATTGACCTTAGCCAATGGGCGTGACGAACGTACGAAACTTTTTGCGAGTATGCTAGGACTCAGGGAAGTTTATACATAACTTTTTAGGCCAACAAGAAATTCTCCAGGGAGAAGAAACATTAGAGCATGTTTCTTCTTTTAAAAAAGAGGATAAGCAAAGTGCCTGCTCTAGCCTTGCCAGGTTTGAAGTACCATTTGGTGCTGGGAATATGGTCATAGACATTTATTTACCATTTTTTTGATGTTAGAATGGAAATATATAACATATTATTTAGAGTTGCTATAAGGTGGTAAGAAGAATTGCCTGATGCAAGATAAAGTGCTACATAAACTTCACCAAGAATTGAATTATTGGCGACATTTTTTATTCATTAAAGAAAAAATTTATTCAGACCAAAAATCACTTTAGTACCTCCAAACTCAATCAAAGTTGCAACCAGCACAGCACATGAAGTGAATGGTATATTTACAAATTTGTATCAATTCAATTTAGCCATCCGATATAAGAAGATAATGCAAAACTAAATGGGTAATATGCTTTTATGACATTCAATGATTTAGTCAGCAGTAATGCATCTATGTTCTTCCTGCTATGAGGAGTTTGTTGACTTGTACAAGGTTGATGAAGTCTTTTGAGAGCTTTTGAATAACACTTGAGAGGATCTACCGTAAAAAAATGACTTTCTACAAAAGGAGTCAATTATGTGCTCCTAGAGATAATGATTGGGCGAAGTGAATCAGAGAAGCACATGCTTTGAAGGTAGTTGGATAATTTAGGGTGATTAAGATGCTTTAGTATATGCAAAGGTACATCTACCGGTCAAGAATGCATCTTGGCATGGCTAGATTCCTAAAGTGCTGTTTACACCACCACATCTCAAAATCTTCCAATAGGAATGATCATATTCTTCCATGTCATTGCCAACTAGATCATGGAAGAGCTTTTTTTATGGACTTCTCGGCAGATTGTCATCAACTTACAGTGGTCATAATTAAATCTTACTTGTGGTGTGGGTCAAATGGTTAGCCTGAGCGGAATATTGGTATAACACTTCATATCATACATCAGCACATATAACACTATTTAAAATTTTGTATGGGAGGGATCCACCTCATCTGATACATTATGGGCATGACAACACGCCAGTGTGATCAATAGAGCAATACCTCAGAGAAAGGGATTGTATTTTGACATAATTGAAGGAGCATGTAAGGAGACAAGGGGATCATGGTGGTGTTGATTAAGTGGAAAGATTTACTGTAGTATGAGGCTAGGGCTGTCAAAACTGGGTTGAAACTGACCCGGGTACATACAGGTGGGCGTGAAAATTTTTGGGAAAGATGTAAGGGGTATTTTTTTGGGATTTGGGCCTTTTATGGGGGGAGATTATGGATAGTTAGATTTTATATTATGTTTTGATTTTCTGCAGTAGTTTTTGTGAGGCATTTGGGTTCCTTGTAGCTACTAGGAATTGTGTGAGAGACGATTCACCTATCGGATACGAATAATAAATCAGCTTGTATCATTGTCTTATTTTGCGTGAAAATTAGTAAAATAGCTCTCTTGGTATTATTTCTGGATCTATTTGGAGTAAGTTATTTTTTATATTGTTGTGTTCTGTTTTGATTATCCAACCCTATCACAACACACTGAGATTGATCCAAAATTATTAGAGTAAAGCTCTGATCCTTATTTTTCAGTTGCAATTTCCTCAATTTTGCTCGGAATGTTCGCTGTCTGGAGTGCAAAGTAGATGGACCAAACAAAGTTGATAGCGATGCTATGAAAATGAAGCCAGGAGATTGGAGCTGCCCAAAGTAAATATTCTTATCTAGCTTTTGTTTTACCCATCCATTCAGATAGTTAACTATTAAGCAAGTTTGGTTGATCATTTCTATCTTCTTACCAGGTGCAACTTCATGAATTTCGCTCGCAACAGAAAGTGCTTCCGCTGTCTGGAAGAACGGCCCAAGAGAGATCTAAACCCTGGAGATTGGGAATGCCCTGAGTATGACCTCAAAACTTCTATGTCCATCTTTCAACTTTCTCCATCCTTTGCATTTTCTCATGTTGATAATTTTATGCATACTGGTTCAGATGCGACTTCCTGAACTTCAGTAGAAACCAGGTCTGTCGGCGGTGTAACCGGGATCGGCCCGGTGAGGGAGGCTCTGAATCTAAAGATCATATCTGGAGGAAACCAGGAAATTCCAGAGAGATCAAAGATTTTATGTTTGGGGAGAGTGAAGAAGAAAAGACTGACAGTGAGGATGATATAGCCAGAGAAGAAGACCACGACGACAATGATGACGATGTATGGCCACACGCCCCTGCAAAAAGGAACCTCGCTTCTGCCAGAAAGAGAAATATCATGAAGAATGATGGCTAATGAGAAATTATTATGTGTGGAGACTGGATGCAGAACGTCGTTCATAGATCAACTAGAATGCTCTGCGTTAGCGGTACTGAGTGGTACCGAGCCATGATACCAAGTGCCCGGGTAACGTGGCACATTTTGGTTGGTCTTCGGATGACGTTCGACGTCCGCACAAAATAATTAATCTTGGCTAACAATGCTGTGATATTTTTGAAAGCCTTCTCTTGTTATCTGCTGATTCATGGGCGAAAGCTTTTGCATCTTTGTTGCTGTGTTCAACCTTTACCTTTGCTTCTATAGCAACATTTTCATGATGAATTGGTGAATCTTTATCAGAATCAATGAAGATTTCCTTTTGCATGAATGTAATGGCTGAAGCCCCAGATGATTATTTTCCCTTGTGATCAAAATGAGCGAGATTAATGTAATGTATTTGCTGATGTTTCTTATGATTTTCTGATGACAATCATGTTAAGACTTGATTTTGTCATGAAAAAATAATGATAATTAGAAATATTAAACAGTTGGCTACTAGATTTTATTCATTGAAATATTTCTGTAAGAAATCATAATAATAAATTTTGATTTATTATTTCTCTTTGTATTTGATTCTTTGTTCCTTAATAATAACATTTTTACAATAGAGTTTTAATAAGACCAAGCCCTACCATTCTATTTAGGGGTGTCAATTTTTGACATGACTTGAAAAAATCAAGCTTTGGGTTGACCTGTTTGTGAAATGGGTCATGTTCAGCCGTTCAGGATTTTATTTTTAACCTGTTTGAAGAACGGGTCTAGTTTGAGTTTGAATTTTTGACATGTTTGAAGAATAGAATGGGTTGGGTTCGTGTTGTCCAGACAACTCGGAGCTAACCCGTTTTGACTCGGGTTCGTGATCATGCCAGCACTGTCCAGTCCGTCAGGCCGTTGTGTTAGTCGCTCAAGCCGCGGCTCTACCTCGCCATGTTGCCAATGCCGTAGCCTCACAGACCGGGCTAGGGTTAGACCACGCAAGCTGCTTTGCCTCGACTAGTCGACCTTGCCCAGCAGTCAAGCCCTACGCTGCTGCACCTGTGTGAGTTGTGACTCAACGATTGCGCCCGCGAGTTCACGGGTTGGGTCAGGTCAACCCGGCGAACCGTGCCAATCTGGTCCAAGTTGGAAATCCTGACCCATTTAGACAACATGTTGGATTTGGGCAACCTATTTACACCAAGGTCGACTCGGGTTGGACCCAAATCCGACCCATTAACGCCTATTAACAATTTAACACCCCTACTCTACCAGCCAATTAAAATGGGGGAAAAATCGGTGAAAATTTTGATCAAAATTTAATTAAGATGAAATTAAATTGTTATTAATTATTCATATATTTATATTTCTCTCAAAATAAATTGAAATGAATATACCATTTTTTATTCAATCAAAATGAAGGGATGCCAATTTTTCACAACGGTCACCATTTGATCTGTTCCGCTTTCTGTCGGTTGGATGAAAAGAAAAGAAATATTTTTTTCAAATCACCAACCACTTCTCTCCAAAAGCAGTTGTTCTCTTCATCCTCTTCAGACTCGTTTCGAGAACCTTTCTCATTGCTTCGGTCCGCATCGTCCAATGGATCCTCCACAGCCACAAGGCATGAATTTCCAGTTTCCACCCCCCTCAGCCCCATGCCCTCCACCACTACCAATCAACAACCCTTTAGCCCTACCGGCACAAATGCTCTCCCCATCTCCCTGGTCGACTGGCCTCTTCGACTGCTTCGACGACTTCGGAAACTGTACATACGACCTTCCTCATTCTCTTCTTCCCATCAAAAAACACTCACTAAACGCTTCTCTGTTTCCCTGCAGGCTGCTTAACTTTCTTCTGCCCCTGCATTACATTCGGCCGCATCGCCGAGATAGTCGACCGAGGCTCAACATGTAAGCAATCCATCAAACTCCTTTTCCTCATATTCTTCTTCTCTGATTGATTGATGGCTTTTACCTGTAGCCTGTGGGGTTGGTGGGGGTCTTTACGCTCTGATACTCTGTTCAACTGGGTGTCAATGGATATACTCGTGTTTCTATCGGTCGAAGATGAGGAGCCTTTTCTTCTTGGAAGAGAGCCCTTGTGCAGATTGTCTGGTGCATTGTTGCTGTGAGACGTGCGCACTTTCGCAGGAGTACAGGGAGTTATTTAACCGTGGATTTCGTTTGGATTTAGGTATGATGTGCTCCGTTTTTGCTCTGTTTTTTTTCGTTTTTTTGATGAAAGGAGCGGTTTTTATTAGAGCTGAAGGGTTGTTTTGATGCAGGATGGGAAGGTAATTTGTCCAGACAGAAGGCGATGGTGGCGCCGGCGGTTGAAGGTGGAATGCGACGGTGATCCCTCTCTCTCTCTCTCTCTCTTAGTTATAATTATAAAATATATAAATTATTACATTTATTTATGCAATACCCTAATCATCAAAGCCAAATATATATTTGTTCAGGCATATATTTTGGAGAAATTATTCCGTTCGAACCCCGAACATTGTCTAGAGATAAACCAAGATACGCCAAGTCATCCCTTCGCTCAATATCACGACTCAGTACGACTGATGTGGTGCCAACTGGTTGGTCTTCGGACGACGTTCTGTGTTCAGTCTCTGCACGGAATAATTTCTCTAATTTAATGATTTTTAAACTCATTATATATAATTATTTTCATCTAGATATTATTAAAATATTTGGGTGTTATATAAATAAATATAATAATTTAAATAGTAGATATGTAAATATATGAATTAAGTAGCATGTTTGTAAAACTCTTTGCAAGGAAGTTCGTGTTTTGTCATTTGACTGTATAAGATTGGTTGCATTTTAATAATTTCAGTTTTGGAAATTTATATCGTATTGATTTGCAGTTTTAGCTAATTTTAAAAAGTTTAGTGCGAAATTGAAAAGTCTCCGTTGAGTTTTGCTGAAGTTCGGATGAAACTTAAAAGTGTTGGCCAAAGCTTTATATATATTTTAAATGAAATTTAAATGAGCTCATAACATAAAAAAAATATTATTGAAAGATTGTTTGATCGAAACTTGAGAAATTATTATGCCGTCGGTAGGCGAAGCAATACGCATAACATCACTTTTTTGCTGTATATCAATGTTGTGTATCAGATGACGTGACACATTATGTTTTTAACAAGAATTGTAACTTAAGCTGATTTTTATTAAATTTTAAAAATGATTGTTATAATCATGTTCATAACATTTTATTATATAATGAATCATTAGCTATTTCAGTTGAGTGATCCCAAATGACCCATAGGATTCCATTTGACTTATTTTATTTTTGTGCTTTACAATGTATGAACTTTCTATAAAATTGATAAATAAATGATATGGTTGGAAAAAAGATTGAATGTTTAAGAAAAATCTAGAAGGATAAAATGTTTTTACTATCCAAATAAAAGTTAATTCCCAAAAAATAATTACTAAAAATATGTGAATATAAAATAGCAAGAAATTTTTATATGTGAGGTTTTTATTGTTGAAGAGAGAAAAACATTGATGATGATATTAAGGTTTTGATTTGGACGATTTTTTTTGTTGTTTTTTTAAAACAATTTTTTTATACAAATTTTTTTTGAAATTAAAAAAAAAATATTTAATAAAAAATTGATTTAAAAAACAGTAAGAAAGTTGTCCCAGACCAGGCCTAAATAAGTGTAAAAAAGCCAAAAAAAATCACACAAAATTTATGACATATAATTCACCCCCCCTCTTGGTTAGCCTTGGGACATTCACTTAGGCTTAACATCCTAATTACTAGACCCAACACACATTAGTATTATTTAGGCTTCATTTCTGATAACTTTCTTACTTCTTTATGAAGTAGCTTTTTCACAAATTTTTTTAGTTTAAGAAATTTTTGTACTAAAAAGCTGCTTTAGAAAGCAATAGAAAAGTTATCACAGATAAAATTTTTAGTCGCTCATTCAGATATATCATATATGAAAAACTTTTTAGATGAAGGTCAAATGAATATCATTTTATTGATGTCATCTTTCTTTTTGTCCATTTCACGATGCTTGCATTGAGGTACACGCATTCTTAAAAGTGTTTTCGTCAAAATTTGGCCCCTCAATTTTTGCATACTAAGATATGTTATAGTGTGAACTTTTAAAATATGTCATATATTAGGTGATTACATTGTGCATGACATTAACAACAACAAATATGCTCTTGATAGGTGTAATATTTGTTGAAAGTACTATTATCATTGTTAGTAGAATGGAGGCTTCTTTAGAAGTCTAAGGAAGATGTTTAGGATCTAATTATGGTTCTTTGTATTAAAAGCCACATGATTAGTCATAGGCTCATAGCAATATTCTCCTAACCTTGAGGAATCAAAACATCCTTAAATCAACCAAAAGTAATTACAGTTTTGAGTAGGGGTGTCAATTTCGGGTCACGGGTCGGGTTCGGGTCGAACCCGGAAATGACCTGGCACAAATCGGGTCAACCCGAACCCGACCCGTTTTTACAAACGGGTCGATTTACCGGACCTGAACCCGACCTGCTTCGGGTTCGGGTCAACCCGACCCGACCCGCGGACACGGCAAGGCTGGGAGCAGCGGTCACGCGAACCGGGCAGCGGCGGCCACGACGTCATGGGTCAGGGGGAGCCGGGGCGGGATTCGCGAATCGCGATGCGGTGCGGTCAGCCGGTCATGCGGGTCGCGGGATTCACGAAGCTGCAGTGCCGCGGGCAGCCTGACCGCTGGCAGCGGTCACGCGGGGGGAAGCCGGACCGCGGGCAGTGGGGCAGCCGGACCGGTCACGCGGGATTCGCAGATTCGGGCGGGTTGACCCGGCAACCCGTCGAGTCAACCTGAACCCGACCCGTTTTGAAATCGGGTCAGGTCCAACCCGAATTTTCCGGGTCGGGTTTTCGTGTCGTGTCAAATATTGACACCCCTAGTTTTGAGGATTGAGTATTGGAAATCTCAATGTTTAATGAAAATACTTTCAATATGTTATCATAGGAGTCTCAATAGAAGATATATTATAAAAGATGTTGTGGAGGAAACAATTTTTTTAAAATATGTTGTACAAAGTAGCTGTCTAACATAAAAATCTATTAAAAATAATAAAAAGGCAGCGACTAAATAAAAATTATGACTACGTTTTAAAAAGCAATGCGGTAAGAAAGCTATCCCTTATTTGATACAGATTTTAACTATTGTTTTTTCGTTACTTTTATTGAATTTTTGTGCTAGAAATCTGCTTTTGAAAGTAGTAAGAATGTCGTCTCAAATGAAGCCTAAGCTTTAGATTGCTTTTTTTTTTTTCTTTAATTTCTAAAACTTTTTGTACTAAAAAATATATTTATAAAATAATAAAAAAACTGTCCAAAACAAAGCCTAAGTCTCATTTCATTTCATCTCTTTTAATCTTATTTAACTTTTTAAAGGAGAAAATTTTGATCAAAGAGATAAATTAAAATGCAATTAAATGATTTTTTAATCAAAAAATTTAATTTAAAATGATTAGTATATTATTATTTAAATAATTTTAATATTATTGTTGTAAAATAAATTTAATCAATATAATAATTAATCTTAATTAAAATAGGGTATCTTAACTAATTTTTTTTCCAATTTTTTAAAGGAAAGCCAAAGAGTGCCATAAGTACAGATTCGGTTGGATTCTGGATAAAATAAAGAATAATGTTTTCGATTAGAAAGATTAAGCCAATTTGATGAATTTTAATGAATTTTTTCCAAATCTCATTTTTAAATTAAGCAGAGCAGGCAAGTTAATTAAGGTTTTATTTGGGATGGCTTTCTTAGGATTAACTATTCTGTGTGGATGTCGAATGCCGTGTGGAGACCAACCAGAATGTGCCAGCTTGGTACCGTGGCTCGGTATCGCTGACGTGGAGCATTCTGGTTGGCCTCAAGACGACGTTCTAAATCCCGTCTACGCACAAAATAATTTCTCCTTTCTTAGCGTTTCTTAAAGTAGCTTTCTAGTAAAAAATTAAAATTTTTTAACTAAAAAAATATTTAAAAAAGTCGTCCCAAATAAAGTATAAGTTTTATGATTTTATAGTGTCTTAGATTTTATTTGTGTCAACTTTCTTATTATTTTATAAAACAGCTTTTTAATATATATATTTTTTAATTTAAAATCTTTATATTAAAAGTTACTTTGAAAAATAATAAAAAGCTGCACAAACAAGATCTTAATCAAATTAGTCAGATTATAGCTTGTTAACACACGTGATAAGCTAGAAAGCTTATATAAGCCAAGCGACTTATATTCCACTGCTCCACTTCCTCTGCAGTGCATCATCACCAGAAACGGACTCCACCAGCGCCGCCTGACTCATCTGCAATATCTGATTTCTCCAACTAACTTGATTCCTTTTACTATCGTTAAATACTCAAAATGTATCAGCGAAACTATTATGGAGAAATGAATATATACCGGAGCTTCCTCTTCCTCTGTTCTGCTTCTTCTCAGTTCTAAGTTCTGAGTTCTGCTTTATGTAACCTTGTTATTGCAGGTTATTACATAGCTAATCCCTATGAGTTTGTCGCCACTTGCTTGAGACCTCGGGGATTATCTCATACCCAAGCATGAATCATTATTATGTTGATAGTCCGGATGACATCCAAACTCTAATCACGTGAAGATACGTAATTTTTTCTCTCTCTTATACATAAGATGTATAAAAGAAAGTGAAAATACACATATCTTCATTTGATTATAATCCGGACGAAAAGCTAACAATCTCTTCCCAAAGATAGGCATCTCTTACTCTTATTATATCAAAAGGAAGAGGCATATGCTACAAAAGGAAAGACAAAGACGCTATTGTTGTTTAGTAAGTTAATTAAAAAGAAATGATTATCTATAATTACATTATAATTGTTTAATTAAAGTAATTGAGACTTTATAAGAGCATCTTGAAATTCTTAGTGTTATGTGTTTATAAAAGTACAGATTCGTCCCTATATTACGTAGCGTACGTTGGAAGGAAATCAAACAAGCTTTGTTTACCTAACACTAATGACTTTCATTTGGCTTTTTGTATGACTGGCCCTAATTAATTACTACTTTCATGATAATTGCTAGCTCTTAAAATGGGGTCATTACCTAATAATTTATCTTATTATCTTTGTTTATAACTATGTATATCTATTTAGAAGAAATTTAGAGGTGGTTATTTGGTTATAAGTGTAAGGGTTGTAAAAGAAAAGTGGTAGATCAGTTAAAAATTTTTAGGTGTTTGCCAATACTTTGCCCTTAGTAGTTAATTGATTAAAGATATTTCTATTCTATTAGCACTTGAGCAATCCATTCTCCACTAAAATCTGAGGATTCTGTGTTATTTTGTGTGGAACTTGATTGTATCGATCAATCAAGTTGTACCAAAGTTTGTTGCCCTGATGTTATATGCCTTAATACCCCAACGTTGTGTACCCGAGTGTCATAATAATATATAGTTTGCTTGGAGAAAAGATAGAGAGCAGAGCGCTGCAGCGCTCAAGATTTGACTTTGTGGCATTGTCAGGTAGATTGGAGACAGAGTGTTGAGCACTTCGGTATTCCAAATTGACACCGCAAAGTTGCTGCCGCTGCAAGGCTAGTTAGATAGTTTTTCTTAAGAGTGTCGTCCTGCTGCTGTGGTATGTATTGTATTTTGTTTGTTCTTGTGCAAGAACGGTTTAAGTGAGATGACAAGCAAGGAGAGAGCGAGATAAAAGAGAGATTTGTACATATTTCTTCCAATTTTCATAGTGGATTTTTTGGTTTGGTTTGGTTATATGATTTTTTTTTTCCTGGTTTCGAGTTTTCCTATGTTAAATCCTAATATCCTTTATTTTTTGTTGTATTTCTACTTTCCTATCTGTTTTGTTGCATGCTTTACTTCCAACCCCAACACTATCAATCCATCATATTTGTTATGGTTCGATAGCTGATCAATATTCAATATTCACCCTATTGATTTGATCAAAATTCTGATATGGTCATAACTCATTTCCCACCATCTCTCCCATTTTGATCTAATTATTATTGTTTTGACCAAATCTCACATCAACATGCTACGAAGGAACTAGTTATAGTGATTTACATTGTCTGCTCTTACTTGATTAGGGCATGGATGAGAAGTCTTGTGTCTACTGGCGAGGAAAAGAAAAAAAAATTGAGGGCATAGTCCCCGATCCCCTAAGCAGAGGGCGGGGGCGGAACCAATCTTAGTTCTCAAAGGAATAAGTGATAAACTTATAAAAATAAATAAATATATATATAAGGGTGCAAAAATCATTTCTTTTGCATATAATTATTTTCACAGATTTATTTGTTAGGGTTAGAAAAATTTAACATAATTGAATGAAAATAACGAGAGGCTTTCTTATTTTTTGAGTGGTAAATTGCGTTAAAAAAAGGCCAGCTGGGTGTAAAAAAAATAAAATTCAATACTAAAAGTTTTAATTTTTTTAGGGGGGCAATTGCCTCCCCCCTCTCAGCAGTACACAATTCCGCCCTTGGCAGGGGGCGCACTGTTCCCTTGCAACCCTCGAGCAAGCTCCTCATCGAGCTCGACTGACAAAATTGAGATTTGTGTTAAGAATACAACTCTATTGATCAACACAATCAGATTCCACACAAAACTAACAACATATATATATTAAATTTAATATTAATTCATTCATTAAAGCCTTTAAATATATTTTACTATTACACCCACCTCTAATATTATTTAAATATTGGATCTTCTAAATTCACATATAGCCGACGAAATATACAGTGGCACGCGTCATTAGTTCATAATTTTTACATAGAAAATTTTAATGCAATGATGTTGATTCCACTGGTCTCTTGTTCAGCTCTCGTAACTTCTTAATAATAATAATAATAATAATAATAATCCGTATTAAGAAAATAAATAGCCTGCTTTTCCCTCTACGCAGTGTGGTTAGTAATTTAGTATTATCCCGAGGGAAATTGATGCACCTTCATGATTGTGATAACTTTCAGAGCTTCTTTGTCCTGCATCAATAATGTAATTATATAATTTGCATGGCCAAAATTGGTCCGAAAATATTAAATAAATGAGGGCTATTATGAAATTTATATGTTAATTTGATTTTTATGAAAATAAATATAAAGTTTGGTTGGTATATAGTTTTATTTGATGTGAGCTAATTTTTAAGAGAATAAATTAAATTGTAGGTGAAATTTGACTTTATATGTCTTATGCAACGGATATTGAAAAAAAATGTTCTAAAGTTTGTCATAAATTCATGTGGTTCGAACAAATTCCAATTCAAAGTTGATAGAATCTATGTTTGAATATGATTCGAACTATATTTGAATAAAATATAAATTTGTGTTGGACCTTGTTCGAACCGAACAAAGTAGTTTGTCGGGATTTAGAGCGACCCGAGCATCATTTTTAGGGATTTGGAACGAATAACGACGGGAATGGACCATCACTGTGTGAGTGTGAGAGATTTTTGTAACCGGTGCTGGTTGAGGAAAGACATCTATAATATTGATGGAAAGGTTCACAATGAGAGCTCTCTGGGGGATGGCAGTGACATGACCAATAGCGTGTAGAGGTGAGAGGGGTTTGTGATGGGTGCTTGCTTCATCAAGTGATGTCGATGGACTGATAGTGTGTGGAGGTGACAGATGTTCGATTTTATTTATATGTCTCGCACGTTTAATATGTGTGAATACCTTAATTTCATATATATACATATATATATATATATATTTCCCCGAAATTTCCCCGAAATTGATCGATTATTTTAAAAAATTTATGAATCGTGTTATAAATGCTACAATTTCATAAAAAAAAAAAAAACTATGAAAGTATTGATACAATGCAATATACTTGAGCTATAGGAGTTGGTTTCAAGTCTAAATGTAGGAGTCCTAAGACTAGGAGTTGTCAAAAGAGGGCCTCAGTCTTGATGATCACAAAAGGTTGCAACGTTGGATACTTTGATGTAAGAGATATTTTATTTAGAAGTTCTGATGTAAAAATTATTAGGTCTGGTGTCCGGACGGATTCGTCCGGACATTAATCCGGACGCGCCACGTCACCCAGATATACTGGGCCCCAGGTGTATCCGGGTGACGTGACGTATCTGGATTGGTGTCTGGACGGATTCGTCCGGACATTAATCCGGACGCGCCACGTCTCCCAGATATACTGGGCCCCGGGTGTATCCGGGTGACGTGACGTATCTGGATTGGTGTCCGGACGATCCTGTGACCGGACGTAATAATTCGCCGTTCTGATGAGGAACTATTATTGCAGAAACCCTAACAAGACATAAAGTCAAATGTAATTTTACAATCACATTAAAAAAATTATAATCACCGGACTAAAACCCATTTTTTTGTATAATATTGAGGAAATTTTCGTGATTAACCTCGTCTGAAACCGAGTTATGTAGGAACTCAAGGCATAATTTTTTTCCGTTTCTGATTAGGCTTCTATAAATTCCAACTCAATCTGGTTGTTAAGCGGGCTCGCCATAGACTCCGACGCCCGAGCTTCTAGAGTGAGGGACGATGGGGATCAATTGTCTCCAGGCTCTCTGCGGAAAAACCTCTCGTGAACTCACAAAGCTCAAGACTCTTCTCGGCCTCACAGTCTCCCGCCTCGCCCTTCTCCGCAACCAGCGCCAAACCCGTTGCGCTCAGGCCGAAGCCGACGTCGCCCACCTCCTCCTCCTCGGCCACCAAGACCGAGCCCTCCTCCGCGTTCGTTATCACTTTCAAAACTCTCAACTTTCTTAACTACTTGCCTTCCCTTCTCTCCACTCATGGTTAGCATATGCAGGCGGAGATGGTGATCAAAGAGCGCAATATGCTCGACGTCCTCGCCATGGTGGAGAGCTACTGCCACCTACTTACAGAGCGCGCATTCCTCCTTCATAACCAAAAGTAGTTCTTTCTTTCTTATCTCTATTCAATTCTTCTTTGATTTTAAGAGAGCTGAGCTGCTGACTCATTGACGCATTTTCTCGAACAGGGAGTGTCCGGATGAGCTGCGGGAGGCCGCTGCCGGGCTGGCGTTTGCTGCTTCACGGTGCGGCGACTTGCCGGAGCTGAGAGAGGTACGGCGCATCTTCTCGGCTAGGTTCGGAAAGGAATTCATCACTGCTGCAGCTGAGTTGCGTAACAATTGTGGTGTTAGTGGCAAGGTATGTTGTTGACAAAACCATATTGTAATCTTTTGTGATAGCTTCCATTACAAAATTGTGCCATATTCTTCCATTAGAACTTTCCTGAGACAAACAAATGAGCCACAATTTTCAAAAAAAAAAAAAAAATCCGAAAGATTTTTGTTTTCTCTTTTACAGATGGTGCAGAAGTTCTCAACGAGGCAGCCAAGCCTGGAAATCAGGGCTAAAGTTACAAAAGAAATAGCAATTGAGAAAGGCATCAAGGTGCAACTGGCCGAACCTACCCCAGAAACTGCAGAGGTGATATCATTACTTATGATATTTAGATTACAATGCTTTGAGAAAAAAAAATTATTAAGCATATATTAGTAATTTAATACACAAACTATATTTAAATTATGACGTTTTGATAAATAATGTTAAGATCATAGTTGTGTGCTTAACGAACAGAGCCGAATAACCCATGAGCTTGCTCAAATTTTGCTCGTTCACACTCCTAATCTTAACAAAAATTTAGGTGAATCAGAACCCCAAGCCGCAGAGGAAGCAGAACCAGGGAAAAACAACAGTGGAGCCACCAAGCACTGCTTGTGATCTTCATGAGCTGCTGGGAGGTGAGAAGCTTGTAGTAATGGCTCAGGAGAAGTACAAGGATGCAGGGAGTGCCGCGCAGGCTGCCTTCGAGTCTGCAGCATATGCAGCGGCTGCTGCCAAGACTGCAGTGGAACTCTACCGATCAGAGTCAGAGGGCAGAGATTCCAGCAATCCAGGAAAGCATAAACATATCAGTCATATAAGTCATATAGATAACTGCCTTCCTTCAGCTTCATGCTGCAGATCCATAGACCTTGGTTGCAGGGCAAGTAAGGTGAGCTCTCTCCGAATTGACCAGGAGAAGCCAAGAGGCAAAGAGATTCTGAGTGAAATTGATGAGAGTGATGATGATGAGGAGCTGATAAGGCTTGCATCCAAGGTATTGGTACCAATGAACAAATCACACAGCTTTGCAGGACTGAGAGGTAATGATTTCAAAACTAAAAGACAGGTAGACTCTACCTTTACACTTTCCTCTCAGAAAAGAAACCAAGATGGAGACGAAAAGGATGATTTTGAAGAGGTGAATGAGATGGCAATCATAACTGTGGAACCATCAAAGAACAGTAAGCCTGGAAGATATGGTTCTGAGAAAAGGGATGAGGCTAAAAATGTTCAATTGTCTCCTGGAGGGAACTTGGCTGCGCGCCATTCTTTGTCGAGAGCGAGTTCCTTCTCTGTGAGGAGTCGAAGGTGACAATGGATAATACCTGGCAGGAGAGCTGTTCATGTAGATGCGATCATGTTGATCTGTTTGGTCTTTGTTTGTTCTACAGTGGGGATCAATGATTATATGGGAGTTGGGATATTATTATGTGATGAGATTTTGTTTCAGTAATATATTTGATATTTTGTTGTGCTCCTTACTTACCATAGACTTAAAGAGGAAGAGAAAAAGATTGTATCTTGTGTTCATGGTACCATAGATCAATTTGAGACTATTTTTTCATAGCTTTATTATTAGACAATTGCAACATTTCTTTTTAGTTAGATCTTTATTATAGTTCTAAAAAAATCTATGATGAAAAGTTTTTTTTATAATAAAAATTGCTATTTTATACCTTCTTTTCCGGCAAAGCAAAGGCACTGTTTCCATATTTTACTTGCAAACAAGAAGTAAAGCTTGGATCATAGCTTGCATGCAACGTTAAGGCACTGGTTTCCATTTTTTATTTTCACGTAGTAAGCAAAGCTTGGATCATAGCTTCTTTAATGACGTACCAAATAGCAGTATTTTATACAGTAGCTTTGTAAAACAATAAGAAAATTATCTCAAATGAAGCCTAAGTAAATCTTTTGAACCGAACCCAAGGGTTGGGCAAGCCACAAGGATGGGTGCGGAAATATTTACCGAGGTAAAATACGTGTTGGAAAATTACTACTGGCGTACAAAATAGTCCGTCAGAATATTTTCCAGTATATAAACACATAAGTAATACTTTTTCATCATCTCCATATATAAAACAAGGTCTGTACCTCATAAGAACAACTAAGAAGTCCTTCTTCAATTTGTACAATACCTTCTTTAATGCATATACATGATTCTCATTCCCTTGCTTCACATATCTGATTCCCTTGCTTTGCATATCCAAGAGGTTGATTAACGCGCATTTCTTCTTTCATTTCAACGTGTGAAAATGTAAATTTTGCATGAAGTTGATATGTAGTATGGGAATTATTGCAGTTAAGGCAACCCAAAAAGAATTATGTCAAGCCTTATGTGTAATGTCCCATAATCAAAATTTAAAAAAAAAATTATATCTTTTATTTTTTTTTATTAACTAGAGCTAACAAATTTATTCCTATAATAAAAGAAAATCGAGAACAAATCAATTCATCATACATCAATGAATATTTGTAATCATTATCCCAAAAATTATATAGAATAACCATGAGTCATAGAAATACAACTTACTATCCCTCACTCTTGACTACAAAAGAATATATAAGAAACCATACAATAATAAAACCTAAGAAATATTGTAATGATTAGTCTCACACTCCCAACCCTCTTCCATGACTTGAAATCATTTAAACCACATAGAATGAGCTAAAAAACTTAGCAGGTCACCAAAATCTTACTGCTGAACTCAAAGCACAAAAAAGAAGCAGTATGCATGTAATCACGTACTCAGTTCATAACAATAATAATCAATATGATCATAAGCATGTGTAGAAATAGTAAAAGACATGTAGTAACAATAAAGTTTGTAAACCAGTATGATATATTGGATAGTAAAATAGTGCAGTATGAATTTCGAAGAAATAAACAATTATTCGTAAATCATTCATAGCAATAAAGCGATAAAGCGAAAGTGTTTAGAAAAACTATCAACATTCATAGCAATATAGTATAGTATTATATAATAATCGTAAAGTAAAAGACATGTAGTAACAATAATAGTCAATATGATCATAAGCCTATGCAAAAATAGTAAAAGACATGTAGTAACAATAAAGTATGTAAGCTAGTATGATACGAAGGTTAGTAAAATAGTGCAGTATGAATTTCAAAGTTGTAAACAATCATTCTTAAATCATATATTACAAAAAGTAATATCCAAATATGAAAAAAAAAATTCATATAAACCAGCATAACGAAAGTGCTTAGAAAAACTAACAACATTCATATCAATACAATATAATACTATCTAATAATGTATAGGAGTGTACGCATGATATTCGATTATTGGCAGTATCTTATATCACATGCTTAGTAATAGCAATCACATGCTGAGTAACATTAAATCAACAATAATATCATAATAAATCAGTAATAGAATATTAGTAGCAGTGAAATTGTACACTAAATCACATCCAAGCAATTATACTAAACAACTAAGGAGTGCTAGCTTATGTAGTGTTTTTTTAGTAATCAGTAAATCATTAATTGCTAGCTCAATAAATAGAGTCGTCACTCTTGCCATTCAGCATACTAATTGACTCCTCATAACTATCAATCAATGAATCGCATGAATCATTAGAGGATAACATCATATCATAATATTTAAAGGAAAGTTCGTCGACCTACAATCATATACATATATCAATTAGTCTCCACACAATGTCAATAAATAGTACTAGCATTTACTTTGTTTCACATACTATTGTCACAATATTGCAAAAGTGATAACAATCATCTATTACATAATCATATACTCATATTCATTTAGAATGCTTACATTAACAATACAATCGTATTATAATGCAAAAATTAGTATTCATATTCAAATTGTACAAAAATGTAGTAATTATTATTTTAATCAATGAAATTACAAAGCAATCAGTCAAAACATCCATAATAATCAATTATATGACATACAAAAAGTTATATAGAGGAAGCTCACTAAATCAGGAGAAATGTAATAAAATCAATTTGGGAAAAATCAAATCATCAAAATTAAAATATTTGAAAATAAAAATATGATACAAATAATATATATTGATATGAACAAGTTTTGTAGAAGCACCAAAATGAATTAGCGACCAAAAGCCTAATTTCTCTCTCCTTCTTTTCCTTCTCCTCTTTTCCTCCTTCCCTTTCTCACTCGGCAAGCCAGAAAGAGAGATAGAGAGGGAAAGAGAGAGAATTATATATATATAACATAAATAGGATTGAAACTACCTATAAGATCTGAATAATTTTTATAAAATCGGTGAAACTAATCCACAACCAAAAACATGATTTCTCTCTCATCTCCTCCTCCTTCCCTTCCCTACTCGACAAGCCAAAATGTTTGAGAGAGGGTGTGTAAAAACTCAAACACTTAATTATCGAGATATTAATTGTCCACTTGATTTAAGAGCCTCATAATTTTATCATGTTGGTGTAACTTCCCAGTAGGTCCCTCATCCTAAAAATGCTTAGGGATGAGCACGCTTAACTATGTAGTTTCTTAAAAAACTTTAACTATTAGACCAAATGGCACATCGATGTTTAATCACAAGCCAATGATGAGTATTTAATATGGTCAAAATTAATCATGATTATATGAGCATTATCTTCATAAATCATGCTATTTACGAGCTCAATTCAAAAGAAATCCCAAGTGAAAGTATCCACATGTTCATATCTATATTTACAAGATGGTGCAATAATTTTGTTTTATTAAAGAATTATATATATATATATATATATAATATATTATATATATAAATGTAATAGCTTGTATTTTGACTCATGCAAATAATTTTTTTCAAGAAATATTATAATTTAAATCATAAATGTCTTTAGCCATAACATTGAATATATATATTTTAATTGCATGATTGTTTTCATTATTTTTGGGTACTTATTGGTACAAGCAAATATTTTAGGACATGTTTGTTTTGCAAACCAATTTCACTAAATTTTTTTAAATAAAATGAGTAATTTTATTGATATTTTTTTTATAACTTGTAAAGCCCTAAAATAATTTATATAAATTTTATACTGAAAAATTGATTAAATTATTATTAATATTATTTTATTATTTATGATAAATATCCTAAGTCACTAACAATCATTGAAACATTTTAAAATCCATTTTTACTATTAAAATTGTCCAACCTAGAAGGATTTAGAGAAATTAGAGAGAAACGTAGGGAGAGAGAAAAACAAAGTTAAGATTTAAATGCCATAAAGTGATTTTTGTCAGTCGAGCATGTTGGGAAATTTGCTCATGCATCTTGCTGTATGGAATCTTTAGCATATTTCTAATTTCAATAATTTTATATTTTTTGAAATTTTTCTGATAAAATTTTTATTTTCTTACAAAAAAATGAAGATAATTTTGTATTGATAAAACTTTCACTGTATAACTTTTTATTTATTATAGAGATCGAGATTATGAATATTTTGATTTTTTTTATTTGAGCTTTTTTGTAATGTGATTTTAAAAAGCATCAATTTTTGTCTACTCTGAAATTTATTTTAACATTTAAAAATAGTATCTTAGTTCAATAAAAGCTTCAGAATGTTGTTATATACAATCTTTGGTAGTTTGTTTAATTTCTAAAAATATAATTTTATGCTTAGTTGGGTTTTCTTTTGTCTACCATGGGGCTATTTTGACACTTTATGAATTAATCTCAATTATGATTTATTTATTGCAATGCATTGGAAATGAATGTGGATATGTGATTGAGTAATAACTTGTCACTATTAATATTATAGTACTATGATAATAATATGTCTGTGGGAGAAAAAAGTAAATACTAGTTATTCTCTAACGTTGGCTAGAGACTGATTGACGTGTATATGATGGTGGCTCGACGGGCTTTCTTTTAAATATATGATTTTATGTTATTCTCTATTGATTCATGTGATATACTGATTGAGAGTTATAAGGGGATTATTATTGTGCCAACGTACAAAGAGTGATGACTCTTTTTATTGAGCTAACATGTTACTAATACTGACACTGAGACTAGAAAAACACTGATAAAATGTAACAAGGAATTGTACTTATTTAATATAATTATTAGAATGCATGCTACTAAATCACTTCCACCATACGACTTTACTGTTACTTTCACCTATGATGTTGATGTTACTACTATTCTATTATTATGAATATGCTAATCACGTGATATATATTGAGCATGTGCATTGGACATTGACACTGAGTTGATATTGATATGATATTTTTAAGTATGTGATACACGAATATAATTATTTTTATATGATTTTACTACATTAGCATGATTTTGACATTATTTATCGATGTTTTAATTTGATGTTTTATATGATTTTTTTTACTGATTTAGTATTGATACGATGATTTCTTTAATAATTTGACACCTATACTGATTTATTGATTTCTCTATTATATTACCCTATGATCATGTGAATGTTACTATTATGATTTTGCCGTTGACTT